TACCTCCCAATAAACCCACCCTCAACAACCCCAGCAGCAAAGGAGACAGCACCAGCAGCAGCGTTCGCGGTCCCGTCAAGCTTCTGGAGGCAATCAGGCTAGGCGCCGCATTTGACGCCCTAATGGACGATACCGTTTGCTCTTTCGTTACAGATGTTGTTCCTATGTCCCTCCTTCCATCCGGCTCGACACCGTTCGGGGATCGCCTAACAAACTTTCTCCCTGCATGGGAAAATATCACCTCAGATGCATGGGTTTTAAAGATTGTCGACGAAGGCTATGCATTGGAGTTCGAGGAGCTCCCACCAACAGGGCAGATTGTCGATACCGAACCATCCTCGGCAATTCTGACAGAGGTCGAGACCTTGCTTCTGAAAGGGGCAATTTCCCCTCTCCCGGACTCTCAAAACCATCGAGCCTTCTTCTCCAGGTACTTTACTGTCCCGAAGCCGGATGGCTCCCTCCGCCCAATCCTCGATCTCAGAGACTTAAACTCCTTCATCAAACCCCAAAAGTTCTGGATGGTGACGGTATCGTCCATTCTCCCTCTACTCAGATACGGAGACTTCTTCGCGTCCGTCGATCTCCGGGACGCTTACTTCCATCTCTCAGTCAGAAAACATNGACGCTTATTTCCATATCTCAGTCAGGAAACATCACAGACGCTTCCTGGCCTTCAGGGTGGCGGGGCAGACGCACGTGTTCGACGTCCTCCCCTTCAGTCTCGTGACAGCACCGAGAACTTTTACCAAATGCATGTCGGTGGTCGCAGCGGCCCTCAGAAGGGAAAAAATCCGCATTTTCCCTTACCTAGACGACTGGTTGTTGGCAGCACGCTCCCCAGACCTCCTGCGAGCTCAGGTGGCAAGGACGCTTTCCCTCCTCGAAGACCTGGGCCTTCAGTTGAACGAGGAGAAGTCCCATCTCGAGCCCACCACTTGCATAAAGTTCATCGGCGCCATGTTCGATTCTCTCTCCCAGACAGTCTTCCTTCCGGAGGAGAGATTCAGGGCTCTTCGAGCCGAAGCACTCAAGGTGTGTCGCTCCTGAGTGGTCCCGGCGAAGCAGATACAAGTCCTCCTCGGGCACATGGCCTCCACGGTGATGGTGACGCCATTGGCAAGGCTCCGCTTCCGCCCCCTCCAGAGATGGTTCTTGGACCATTTCAACCCTATGCGGGACAGTGCCGCAAAACGCCTGCTGGTACCGAGGTCGGTGAAGGACTCTCTAAACTGGTGGATGAACCGCCAGCATGTCTGCAAGGGCATTCCCTTTCACCCAGAGCCCTCAGCCGTCACGATCACGGCGGACGCCTCGATGTTCGCATGGGGAGGCCATACAGGAGAACTCTCGGTACACGACCTCTGGTCTCCTCAGGAAAGGCAGTCCCATATCAATTACTTGGAACTGCTGGCAATCTTCAAAGCCCTGAGAGCATTTGTCCTCCTGGTCACGGGGAAGTCCAGATCCTCACGGACAACATGGTGGCAATGTTCTATGTGAACAAGCAGGGAGGAACGGGCTCGAGAAAACTTCTCAAGCTGTCATTGGAACTTTGGGACTGGTGTGTAACCAGGTCGGTGTCGATAACAGCCTTACACCTCCCGGGCGAAGTCAACGTCGAGGCGGACGCGCTCAGCAGAACCAGGGCAACATCCCACGAGTGGAGGCTGAACCCCGACGTACTGGCGGGGATCTTCAGGGACTGGGGCCTCCCAGCCGCAGACCTCTTCGCGTCGCCGCAAAACGCTCAGCTTCCTCAGTTCGGTGCTCGACTTGCTCCGAACACGGTACCGGGGTGTCTCGGAGACGCGTTCCTGTTGGACTGGTCGAAGCACCTGCTCTACCTTTTCCCTCCCTTCCCGCTCATCCCGAGGGTGATCGAGAGAATCCAGTCAGCGCAAACGAATTGCATCTTGGTAGCGCTGGAATGGCCACGACAACCGTGGTTCTCGGTTCTACTCCAGTTGTCCGAGGGGCGGATGAAACGCCTTCCACTTCGGCAGGATCTGCTCTCCCGGGAAGACGGTCAGCTTCTCCACCCCGACCTTGCTTCTCTGCACCTTTCGGCGTGGAGGATTCGGTTCTGAGGTCCCTGTGTCCAGGAGTTCTTCCGATCCTGGAGGCAGCTCACAAACCAGCGACCAAAAAGTGCTACTCAGCGTGCCTTAACCGCTTCCAGGCCTTCCTCTCTGAGAAGGGCCTAGACGATCATCGACCTTCGGTACCATCAATCCTCTCGTTCTTGCTGCACCTTACCGAACGAGGCTTGTCGCTATCGTCACTCAAGTCTCACTTGGCAGCCATATCGTGGCAGCTTCAACGGACAGGAGAAGCTTCCTTGTTTAAAGATAGCTCCGTGAGATCTTTTCTGCGAGGTTTCAACAACCTACACCCCCTGGTCCGTTCTCCAACTCCGGGTTGGGACCTCGACCTCGTGCTGGCTCGGCTCGCACAACCGCCTTTCGAGCCATTGACTTCAATTGAACTTCGGCTTTTGTCGTGGAAGGTGGCCTTCCTGGTCGCTATCACTTCAGCCCGTCGGCCGTCGGAACTTGCGGCATTGCGAGTGGACGAACCATATTTTGTTGTCCACGGGGACAGAGCAGTTCTCCGCACAGATGTGACATTCCTCCCTAAAGTAGTGTCCCCCTTCCATGTTAATGAAGACATTGTCCTTCCCTCGTTGTGTCAGTCTCCCTCCACCCCGAGGGAA